CTGCTGCTGCTGCTGCTGCGTCTGTTGTTGCTGCTGCTGCTGCTGCTGCTGCTGCGTCTGTTGTTGCTGCTGCTGCTGCTGCTGCTGCTGCGTCTGTTGTTGCTGCTGCTTCTGCTGGTACCGCAACTATGACTGATCTGGCTAGAACTGCACATAGCACATAAACAAGCAATGAAATTCCTTAGGTTATTCCTTCATGCACGTAATGACATTTCTGGATATAATAAGAAGTCATTTACATCATTTATCATAACAGTGTATGTATTAGATTTCAATCTAATTGTATTTATAATTTCAGTACTGGACATATAACAGCAAACATGCTGAAGTTTATGACAGATAAGACTAAAGGTTTGTAATTTAATTGTATCTTGAAGCATGCTCATACCTTTAGAAGTAATCTAGTTTCAACATGGGTTAGAACAAGAATTCTTAATTTATATCACATGTTATCAGCAATCCGATCTGCCATGAGATCCGACAGTTGCACATGCTATGAGTACATATAATTTCCAGTAGACCGTGTGTGCAAAAATTCATACAGCAGAGCCGTGTTAAGTATAGAAACGTGTAACTGCTTGAGAGCACCTAAATGTTAGACCTTGGCCCTTTAAGAAATGCTTCGATTTGACGCGCACTGCGCGCGCAGCCCACTTGCCAACTGCTCATGGTTTCAGTTGAGAAGCAGCAGAAACAGCTGACGGACTGGTGTAGCATGCTCAGCGTCAGACCACACGAGACTGGTGCGGGTGAGCCAAAGCCCATACAGCACAAATTTCCATCCACGTTGACAAAGATCGCTGATAAAGCAGAGGTATATATGGTCACGAATGTTTAATTGTAGCATTCTGGACGTGCATGGGACGTGAGTGTGCCTATATATGTCCACCCACCTCACAGCATGTCTCAGCAGATGTATGCACGTGCACAGATGATATGGAATAATTGTTAACCATTGATGCTGAAGGCATAGATGGGATAGACCTTCACTTGACACAATTATGGCTATATTATCCAGAATTTATTGGCACAGGAGTGCACTGTGACCAGCCTGCTTTGTTTACACCCATGGTCATTCTTTCTCTCATCTCCGAGCTCATGGCAGATATTGAAGAATCGAAGTCGTCGTTGCTTCACGAAATACTGAATTGGTAACACGAGTGCACTGCGACCAGCTTGCTGTCTTAACACTCGTAGCCATTCTTTCTGTCATCTCCAAGCTCATAGCCGATAGAGAGGAGCTGGAGCCGTTGCTGCTGCAAGAGATGGACATGGCAGTGGCTGAGGCCTGGTTGAAGGGTGACGACGACAGCTTTACGCATCTGCTGCATCTTATCATGAGCGAGAACGTCAGCGGTGAGTCGTCTCGTAATTAAGCGGCAGTGGAAACTTGAATGCACTGCATGCACACAGACGAGGAACCTGCGTCGATGTATTTTATTGTTTAATGCTTTCGCAATCTTGCATCGACCAGGCCTGTTTTCAGGGGCGTCGTAGTAGTTATAACTATCTTGAATTGAAATTAAGACTTTTCAATTGTTGTTCAAAATTTGTGTTCGTGTTTTATTGTTCAAAAGATTTCGTCATGACTTTTCGTGATGTTTCTGACAACGGGGCCCCGTGGCAGTTTTCTGTTTAGCTTATATTTCTTCTTTCTGGTCATCTGTATGTTTGCATTTTTCCTAACCAATCATGTTCTATTTCTGACGTGGCACATCCGGCAATCAGCTCCTTGAGCTGTTTGTTTGTTTCGCAGGTGCAAATACTGCACATCGGAGCTCATTGAATGTGTTCGCCACGAGAAATGCATCTCACATCTCGCGTCACGTCTCGCGACATCTCACATCTCGTGTCACGTCTCGTGTCACGTCTCGCGGCATCTCACATCTCGCGTCACGTCTTGCGGCATCACATCTCGTGTCACGTCTCGCGGCATCTCACATCTCGTGTCACATCTTGCGGCATCACATCTCGTGTCACGTCTCGCGGCATCTCACAGTGCTCGCGCATCTCACATCTCGTGTCACGTCCCGCGTCACGTCTCGCGTCACGTCTCGCGGCATCTCACGTCTCGCGTTTCCTCTCACGTCTCGCGTCACGTCTCACGGCATCTCACATCTCGTGTCACGTCCCGCGTCACGTCTCGCGTCACGTCTCGCGGCATCTCACGTCTCGCGTTTCCTCTCACGTCTTGCGTCACGTCTTGCGTCACGTCTTGCGTCACGTCTCACGTCTCACGTCTCGCGTCTCTCGCCCCGCAGTCGACTACCAGCACTCTGATACGAGCGCGACGCCGCTGATGATCGCGGCGGGACGCGGCCACGTCGACGCCGTCGAGCAGCTGCTCAGTCTCGGCGCCAACGCCAGCGTGCGCGCCTCCAACTCGTGGACCGCCATCGACTGGGCGCGCCGCTTCCAGCACCAGCCCATCGTCGAGCTGCTGGAGTCTCACGTGTACGTACGCGTGACGTAGTGGCCGGAGACGGTAGCGAGGATAACGTAGAGCAGGGGAAAAATGAGCTCTCGTCAAAAATTTTATGGCAGCTATTTTGAGCTTCATGGGAGCGATTTCGGAGGTTTGAAGAGCGAATCGCTCATCGCTCCCATGTTTTTTTTACCCTGACGTAGAGAAATGCCTGCCGTGGTTACACTTGTAATTGTAGAGTCGAGCGTGTGTGTGTTGTGTTTAGAGAAATATTCGCTGTGGTTAGAGTTATGATTGTAGAGTCGAGCGTGTGTGTGTTGCGTTCAGAGAAATGTCCGCTGTGGCTGCAGTTATGATCATAGTATCATAGTGGTAATTGTGAATGTCTATAATTGTATGCGTTCCCATTGACCTGACAAGACGTTTACATGCTGAATGTGTTCCCCATCTTTCTGACCTGGCTGACAGCAAAACATTGTTGAGCATAGTTTGATTGCATATTTTCTTCCCCTGTCATGCAACTAGGGCCATCTTTGAGAGTGGTGTGACGGAGAGCAGTTCTAGTCGGACGGGGCAGCTACGCGAACTGAGCTTCGAGGACAGAGAGCTGCTTAATGCCTACCACTACTCGTTCGACGACGATAAGGTGGATTTGGATCTCATTTTGGCACTTTTGTTGAAGATCCATACAACACAGGAGCCAGGTAATGTCTGCAGTGAATGCTGCTGTGTGTGCAACTGCCCACTATCGGTTCAATAAAGACCGGTAAATTTGATGAGAAACCCATTTCTAGGTAACAGGTCTGTTCTAGGCACATTTTCTAGAGAATAGGTTTGTTTCAGGCATGGGTTCTATTTAATAGGTCTAATAAGTCTGTCAAGGCACAAGTCCAAAGCTAAAATTGATGCTTCAGTTTCACACCTCGGTTGTATCTCATGATGGTACCCACCTTTGAAAATGTGCAGGGCAGCTATTGCATCTGTGTGTGGAAACCAGTCGATGGTTCCATATAGATGAGAATGTAGTAACAAGTTAATGAGAAATCCCTTAACACGTTCAACGCTGCCGGTGTTAACAATGCACCTACTGCCCTGCGCTGGGATTTTCAGGTTTTTACAGCCTGTTCACTTTTTGATTTACCACATTTCCTTTGTAGGAAAGCTAACCAAACTGACACATTTACTCTGCATGGGTGTTATCTCACCCTTACACGTTCAAATAGTATAAAAATCATTCCCCTTCATAATAATATATTGATATGAAAACAGGGAAAAAACTGACATTTTCGTGTATTTTCGTCTCAAATGCCACCGCACCGGTGGATTTTCGTGAGTTTGTTATGATATCATTCGACAGTATACTATTTTTTCTGGTAAGAAATGTGACAACGCTTACACATGTGTTGGGTATGAACCTTGTTTTGTTTTTCTACATGCAAAAATACCTTGAAATTTTATATACTACACAGTTATTATGTTTTTCGATCTACGCCTTCTAGTTTTACGAATTTACCTTGAGTCTCAAAACTCATAATTTCACGTTCAAATCAACGGTAGAGCATTGTATTCTTTAGTTTATGTATGACTGGGGTAATATAGACTGTTCCTGTTTAATTTCTAGGTAGGTAGTGTCTGCCATCTGTTGGAAATCAGAGTAGCAAAAACCAATAATCTATATCCACGAGCTGAATCGTGGATCCGCGGGGATGCGTTTTGATTGTTCCCACAAGCTGACTCGTGGATCCGCGGGGAACGTGTTAAAATCACTTCTGACTCGTGGATCCGCGGGGAACGTGTTAAAATCACTTGCGTCGTTTGCACGTATTTTCGCGCTTACCTTTGTCGATTGATTTCAGGAGCGATCCTGGTGTTTCTACCGGGATATGATGAGATTATTACTCTGCGGGAGCGGATTCTGAACGAGGATGCTCGATTCACGGGCTGTAGTAAGTAAGTAACGATCCCTTCCCAGGGATACATTCACACAATCTCACACTCGAGCGGTGGTTACGCATTTTAATTTAGTCTCATTCAGACCTATGACAGAATCTGAAATGTGAATGATTGTGTGTCTGTTGCTGTGTGGTGCTTCTCGTCTGCACTCACTACACCGATGCGAGGTGTAGACACATAGGTGTTTGTGAGCGCACTGGCAACGTTGTGATCGTCTATTTAGTATTTATTTATTTATTTATTTGTATGTTCATTTATGTGTTAATGTAATGACATCACACTGATAAAAGTGACAACATGAGCTTGCATGTTGCAAGCTTCTTACTGTTAGTGCAGTGTGCAGTAATAAACTACTAGTTTATAGTGACAACACCAGGGGCAACTAAACGTACAGATTTGTAAACGCAAACGTCTTCTAATGCTATATGTGATGACAATTGTGTAAGCACACCAAAGATTTTTGGTAGCTGCAAATCGCTTCTACCAATGCCTTCTAATGTCACGTGAGATGGCAATCATGCAAGCCAGCGCATTTCTCAGACGATCGCCTCATGATTATCAACGTGTTGCAGGTTCATTCTCTACACACTGCACTCAGCAATGCAGTCGTCTGATCAGAAGCGCGTGTTCAAGAACCCACCACCCAACACCAGGAAAATCGTACGTACTCTGTGAAAACCGGCAAAGCTGGTTGATCCAGGAGACGGTGGTGGCGTGCGACTGGTGCACGTTCGTATCTCCGGACACATAGTTTTATTAGGGGCTCGAATTTATCATGCTGTTTAATGTTGGAATTTTATTCAAATCTAATTTTGGGCAGGCGGGGGGGTTAACTTTGGGTCAGTGGATTGAAATGTCATTGTTGCAAATTCTTCTATTTGGGCTACCTGGAATTTTCACAATGTGATAGCGCTGTCATCTTTGGTGGTTTGTTTTCAACATACTGATTAAGGCACAGGATCTGGCTTTTGTAGGTGTTGCAAGTACTTGTAATTTTTAGCAGATTATATAAGCTAAAGCAATTGATTGTTGTGTGTCCTGGCAAAATGTTGCAGTATATAGTAATATGTTCTGTAAGCTGACCATTAAAGCGACCCACACATGATTCTAGGTCAAATCTTCGAGGACATAATTTCCAGATCTTGTCCCTTTAAACTAGTGTCTCGTTTCATTTGGCATCACCCGTTTCGATAAGATTTCAGTGGTGGTTTGAAGCTGGAACCCTTCTCTCCCTTCCCTGTATCTTACAGGGGGCAAAATCAACCTTTTTCTGGTGGTCGTACGGAATACTAGATTTACTAGAATGAGAATCTGGTAGTCCATGAGCAACACTGGCAACTCAGAATTAGAATATTATCTGCTGGCTGCCATTGGTTAAGCATGCAAACGAAGAAATTTTAAAGCTCTGCTTTGGTTTTTCAGATCCTCAGTACTAACATTGCCGAGACCAGCATCACCATCAATGACATCGTCTATGTGATTGACTCTGGCAAAGTCAAGGAGGCAAGTGTGACAAATGCCATACTGTTACTGTCACATTTCTAGTGCACCATCTCTGGCACTGTCAGGATGGTGCGTCGGCGCACCGAGTTACATGACGAATAATCATGATCACACGTGTTAAAATAAACAGCATTTACGCATATAGTTTTAGATTTCTGCGTTTCTCCTTACTTTTAGAAGTCTTACGACGCTCTGACTCACATGTCGATGCTGAAGTCTGTGTGGATCGCAAAGTCGAGTGCACTGCAGCGGAGAGGAAGGTATTTATGCTTACTCATGACTACCAGCTATCTGCATGCACGTATGGAAACACTTCCTCTCTCGTCGGTGCCTTCTCTACGCATTCGTAAAATCTTTGTACCATGATCGGCATCGCCAACGGCATTTCACATTAATATTAACTGTCGATCTCTTTTTCGTTCTTGTATCGCGCTGCCTCTGTAGTGAGGTATTGCACCACTGTGTTCTGGATGAGCGGCGCACGGTAATAGACACGATCATTGCCAGTTTGAGCATGTCGACACAACGGCAACACTAGTGGACGTTGGTCTATATGTACGTCAGGCAGCCTGTGGGCCTGAACCTAAGCACAGCAAAGCTAACGCACGCCGAACCTACGAAACTATGGTGACGTCACCTAACGCTGCATTTACAACAACAACTCGTTTCGCTCCATTCGTTCCTGTCGCCCCTTCGGCCCTCTAGTAGACCTGTAACTCCCTCCTGAGTCGTGCGACTGACTTTCGCACCCAGAACTCTGAGTCGTGTGACTGACCGGCAGCGCGTTATTTGCTCGGCAGGGCGGGGCGGTGTCGGCCAGGCGTCTGCTACCACCTGTTCAGCCGCTCGCGTCACGACACGCTCTCGCAGTTCCAGCAGGCGGAGCTGCTTCGCACGCCGCTGCATGAGCTGTGCCTGCACAGCAAGCTGCTCGCGCCGCACAACACGAGCATCGCCGACTTCCTGAGCAAGGCGCCCGAGGCACCCGCGTTCATGGTCACGCGGCAGGCCGTGCAGCTGCTGAAGGTCGGTGCACGCCGGCGCCCTCTGCCGAGCGGTCGCGACGCGTCGTGTTACGCGATGTGTGGGTTGTATCGTAGTAGAGCTTTGCGGTAATGTGTTCGTAGCTGGACGTCGCATTAGTTCAGCCATGCTGGCTGACTGTGTGGTCAAGTATTACTACATTAATATGGCACGGTAAGTCTTGTAAGAACGTGAATTGTATCACTGTTAGGATTGCTTTAATTTATTATTATTCACCTTCCCTATTGTGTTCCCATATCGTGTTTTTCTCCGACAGACCATCGACGCCCTGGACAACTGGGAGGACCTGACAGAGTTGGGTCACCACCTTGTTGACCTGCCCGTCGAGCCGCGTCTGGGAAAGATGGTGCTACACTCCGTCGTCCTCAAGTGCTTGGATCCGATCTTGACGATCGTCTGCACGCTCGCGTATCGCGACCCGTGTGAGTCATCGTGAGGATCCGCTGTCTTGCGGTGCGACCTTCCCGCTAGCCCGACCAACCCTCGGTCGTCTCTCATGGAAATTCTTTTTTCATTGGTTGATTCTTTAGCTTTCATTTGACGTAGCTATCGTTTATACGTGTGCATACAAGAAGGTTTTACAAATTATACATAAATTATGAGACTGACGTACTAATGTTGTGATTCTAGGAAGTTTGAGATGAGTTCTGTTTTGTTATTATTGTGTAGGTGAAGTTATTTATAATATTGTCAGGGTGGGTTTTTCCCCAAATCAATTGCATCTTGTTGTTGCCATTGTTTTTCATCTTAGGCTGGAGATTTTTATTCTGAATTTATTGTTTTTTTGCCATTGTTTGTAATCTCAAGACAGAAGTTTTCATGTCGGATTCATCAGATTTTGTTGCTACGCTTATCAACCCAAGACAAGTTTTTATCCTGAATTTTTCTGGGTTTTGTTGCCACTGTTCTTAAGACAGATGTTTTCGTCTCTAATGCGTTATATCTTGTTGCTTGCAGTCATGTTGCCGTACGTTCCATCGCAGAAGCGTGCTGCTCTTATGGTGCGCAAGAAGTTTGCAGCGGGAACCTTCAGTGACCACATGGCATTGCTCCGAGCCTTCCAGGTGCGGCCCATCATTTCACCCCTTTGCCAAACATTTGCGGTATTTCTTCGAACAGTTACATGAATGTTTCTTTAGAAACGCGATTGCGTCCCGAAGCGGGTGACAATTTTGCGCCTAGTCGTGTGACTGGCCGAAATTCGGAACACTTCGCAAACGCGATGGAGTTGCGCGGGTGGGGTATGCACTGTCGGTGGCTTCGTTGCAGGCTTGGCAGAAAGCGCGTGGAGACGGCTGGGAGAAAACATTCTGTGAGAGAAACTTTCTGTCCTCGGCGACGATGGAGGTGATACTCGGCATGAGGTATGCACATGTAGGCATTACTTGCGCATGCGGGCGTTACCAGTCAGACTGTTTATACCAGTTTGTCGTAATTGAAACAAGTGTGTTTAACGAAGTTTACCTTTTCACCAGGCAATATTGGATTTTATTCCATGATTGCTCTGCCGTCTGCACGATTACAATACGATATTTTCTGCAGCCATATGACATATATAGATAGGTGGATGGATGGATGGACGGACGGATGGATGGATGAATAGATAGATATATAAAATTATAAACCTAATATAACCTGAAGATAAACCTGTCAATTTTTAGCTCACCTTGACCTCGTCAAGATGAGCTATTGCCATGGGGTGTTGTTTGTCGTACGTCCGTCCGTCCGTCTGTCAACATTTGGCTACGGTCAACGATAACTTGAGAACCATTTGACCCACATGTTTCAAATTGCATACAGTTGTTACTCCTATGGGGGGGGGGCCTTTTTGGCAAAAATGAAAATGGCCATCTAGATTAATTCGATTTTGTTAAATTTACCTACCTACCTAATCATACCTACGTGTAATATTGTGTTTTAGATTCTTCGCTACAGTAATTTTACTGGAATATTTTATTGCTTTTATTTGTGCAATAATCGAAAACCAAAATGGCGATCATTTAGGCATAGTGCCATCTCTCGCCCAGATTTCAGACTTTTAGATCTGAAACATTTATTTTCGCATCAAAACTAACCCTGAAACAAAACAGTGAAATTTCTATTAGTATAAAACGGGGAATAAGGACATTTGATCACATTTTGGTCCGTCATAAATGAAACACTTACCAAATTTTAAATATCATCTCCCTCTTCTATCGCACCCAATGTGAGCTATAGTGTCATTGACACTTTCATTTATTTTGCCATCTTTCGAGAACAGGTTGCTCACAATGTTGTTGTGAAGCCTGAGGAAGAGACGTCCTCTCAAGAGCTCGCAAAATATAAAAAAATTCGCCGTATTCTATTTTTCTATATTTACCATTTTCTATATCTGCATGGGTGTCTGTGTGACTTCTATGTGTTGGTGTTATTTGTAGGACGCAGCTGCTGGGTCAGCTGAGAGCCTCTGGCTTCGTCAGGGCCCGCGGTCCCGGCGACATCCGAGATCTCAACTCTAACTCGGAGAACTGGGCCGTCGTGAAGGCGGTCATCTGTGCGGGCACGTACCCGTACCTGTGCCGTGTCGACCGGCAGAAACGAAGACTCTTCACGCAGTAAGCGCTCGCGCGAATGTCACGCTGTGCGCAGCAGGGGAATTTTTTTTTTCACGGGAGCTCTTTTTCATAAGTCAAAAATAGCCCTCGTCAAAATTTTTAGCTATTTTGAGCCTCACGGGAGCGATTTCGGAGGTTTGAAGAGCGAATCGCTCATCGCTTCCATGTATTTTTTACCCTGCTGTGTGCAGCATCCATCTCGAACAGATGATTACGTGCATGCAGGCAAAGGGGTGGTTAGAGTCCGAAGCAGGGGTGTCCTGATCTCTAGCCACGTCCAGGGGGGTATCCGGCGGGGGTGGGGGGCATGGGTCCTTCCTTTTTTAGGTATGATTTCTGAGAGAAGAATGAAATGGATAGTAAAAATGTTGAAGCAGACAGCATGAGTGGTTGGAGTGATGAGAAATGGAGTGGTCATTGAGCGTGTGCCAGTCTGGTTGAAAAACACGGAAAGCAGAAAGGGGAACTGCAAAACAAGCATTCAAGTGGCTTTTTCTTGGTATACACAAAATTGCGCCTATTGAAAAAAACTCGAGTACTTGTGACATTTTAGACTTGATAGTCATAACTATTTACAATATCTTTGTTTGACAACAGGCCACCTGCGTTAGAGTACCTGTGTGATTAGCATCCCTTACTCAATTCGCTCCCTCTCAACCCGACCCCAAGCGTCTTTTACTCAATTCCCTCCACCTTAGAAACCCGACCCCACGCGTCTCTTACCTAATTCCCTCCATCCCATGAACCCAACCTCAAGCGTTTCTTACCTAATTCCTTCCACCTTAGAAACGCAACCCCAAGCATCTCACACTTAATTCCCTCCACCTTAGAAACCCCTGCGTCTCACGTCCCACATCGCTGCATCGTTGCAGGAAGGAGAACAAGGTGCGCTTGCACCCATCGTCGGTGCTCGGCGCCAGGACGGCGAACGCAAGCGTCACGGTGGCGGCGGCGCACGCGCAGGTGCTGCAGGCGCTGCCGACGGGCTGGCTAGCCTATGAGGAGGCGACGCGCGTGCACCACGTCGCCTACGTGCGCTGCGTGACGCTGCTCACGCCCATAACGCTCGCGCTGTTCGCCGGGCCTGCGCGCATGCCGCTCGAGTCCATCAACGAGGCAGAGAGTACGTACCTTTATCATGTAGAACGATGTTATCGTGATTCACGCAGTATGAGTTAGAACTTATTATGTAGAGCGATGTTGTCGTGCTTCACTCCGTATGATTTGAACTTTAAGTTCAGTTTGAGTTATTTATTTAAAATTGTAGTTTACACTTTATACATTTAACATTGTTATTTTAATTTAATTTTAATTATCCCTGTTAACCCGCGCGACATCCGGCGGGGCTAACGACTCACGCGACGACGACTGCTCATGCGTGTTGGTGTTTGCGTAGACCGGTCATCGGATGCGTCGGCAGAGGTGAGCAGCGACAGCGAGGGTGAAGAGCGTGAGGCGGACGCCGCGAGCAAGGCCACGCTGAAGATCGACTCGTGGCTGTCGTTCCGCATGGACCAGGAGGCGATCAGCCTCGTGCTGCAGCTGCGCCAGAAGTGGCACTGCCTGTTCCTGCGGCGCATGCGCAACCCCAGCAAGCCGTGGTCGCAAGCCGATGAGGTACGCAGACCGCGAGAGTTCGTTATACGTGGGGGCACTGGTTTATTGCGACCTATCCATGCTCCGCGTCCTGCTGTGCTGCGGCGTCATCGAGGGGCATGTGATTCGATCGGCCGATCACGAATTTTTGACCTTGAACTGCCCTATAGAAGTGTATAGACAGACTGTAGCTTTTTATGTGATTTTTGTGTTCTGCCCAAATGAATGCAAACGTTTCCCAAACGGGTTGGCTACAAGGAGACATCTAGTGACGAGCAATGAGCGTTAAATGGGTGATTTCTTGTACTGCCATACTGGATATTCTGAAATTCACTGTACATAGTCATGTAAGATCAGCTTAGTTCTAGCCATGTGCTAGCACACTGAACGGAAAACGTACGTCGTCGACCTAGCTACTAGGTAGTCTTTCAGGGGGTTTTATTTAAATTAAATAAATTTAACTGAGGTGTTAGCTTATCCCTCCACATTCGGATACAGTTTTAGTAATTTTACGCTCGTTGTAATTGCATGGGAATTTAATGCAATTGCTGGCACGGCGACGTTTCAGACGGTGATGCAAACCATCATTAACATACTCACGAACGAAGAGATAGAAGCTGGCCTGCAGCAGCCGCCCGGAATCGGACAGCGGCCGCGACCAATGTGTAAGTACTTTTCGTGCATCCATCCTGCGATGCACAGACTGTTATTGGCTGTCGTCTCACGCCTTTTTAGGAGACTTTAGAGTCGGATTTTGTTAATTGTTATTATTTTAAAATTACTAAAGGAGCAACCCTCCCCCCACCCCGCATGGCGGGGGCATTTGTTATGCATCATGGCGGCATCCTTGCCAAGTTCAGTTCTTACACAGCCTTATTCTCTGTTAAAAATTGCCAGATAGGGCCTCTACAGCTTCCCATAGGTTAGGGTCTCTACAGCTTCCCATAGCTTAGGGCCTCTACAGCTTCCCATAGCTTAGAGCCTCTACAGCTTCCCATAGCTTAGGGTCTCTACAGCTTCCCATAGCTTAGAGCCTCTACAGCTTCCCATAGCTTAGGGCCTCTACAGCTTCCCATAGCTTAGAGCCTCTACAGCTTCCCATAGCTTAGGGTCTCTACAGCTTCCCATAGCTTAGGGTCTCTACAGCTTCCCATAGCTTAGGGTCTCTACAGCTTCCCATAGCTTAGAGCCTCTACAGCTTC